CCTCGGGGAACCCATCGTCCTTGTCGTTGTCTCCGTCGCCGGCGCCCTTCTTCTTGGCATCATCGTTGGGGAGCCCAAGCTTGGCGTAGTAACGTCGGAGCATGGTGCATTCTTCGAGGGTATGCTTCACCGGGCCCTGGTGGTAAGGGCAGGGCTTCTTAAGCATATCGTCGAATAGTCCGGGGCCCCTGGCGGGGCCTCGGGGATTCTTACGATCTGCGGCTGTGACTAGATCGGCCTCGAGGGCCTCTTGCTTCCCCTGGCGCCCCTTTTTCTTTTTCTTGGAAAAACAGGAGGCCGAGGCCCCGGGGGCCTCGTCCCTCCCCTTCCCCTTTGCGTCGTCGTCGGGGAAGATGGCCCCGACAGCCTCTTCGCCCGAGGCGAAGTTGGTGGCGATGTCGAGGAGCACGGCCGCTGAGGTCGGTATGTTTCGGCCTAACTCTCGGACCAGGTCTTGGCAGGAGGTGCCGGAGAGGAAAGCCTGGACAACTTCCGAGTCGCCGACGCTAGGCAACTCGGTGCACTGCTTGGAGAAGCGTCGGATGAAGTCTCGAAGAGACTCGTCCGGCTTCTGGCGACAACTCTTGAGGTCCTAGGAGTTCCCGGGGCGCACGTATGTGCCCTGGAAATTTCCGACGAAGACCTTTACCAAGTCGCGCCAGTTGTGGATCTGCAAGGGAGGGAGGTGCTCGAGCCAGGCTCGCGCCGAGTCTGACAGGAACAACGGGAGGTTGCGGATGATGAGCAGGTCATCGTCCGCACCGCCTAGCTGACAAGTCAGGCGGTAATCAGCCAGCTAAAGCTCGGGGTTGGTCTCACCGCTGTACTTCGTGAGGTTGGCCGGTTGCCGAAACTGGGCCGGGAAGTGAGCGCTGCGGATGGCCCTGCTAAAGACTCGAGGGCCAGGTGGCCCAGGAGAAGGATTGTGGTCCTCGCCACTGTCGTAGCGGCCGCCTCGGTGTGGGTGGTAGCCTCGGGCGGGCCCGTCGTTGTCGTGGCGTCGTCGTCTGCTGACCACATCGTGGTCGCCTTGCGCCTCGTGCCAGCCGCCGAGTCGGTCGTGCACCGAGGGGGCCCTGTTGGCTATCGGCGCCCGAACGGGCTCGGGACGAACTGAGGCCTCTCTATCCTGCCGAGGCGATGCCACGGGTAGTTCCGAAGCACCCCCGCGACGTCTAAAGGCGGAGCTTTCGGCCTGCTGTACCGCGGCGGTCTCGAGGAGATCCCAGAGCTCGCCACGGACCCGTCGCGCCTCCATGGTAGAGGGCTCGGGCATCGCTCGGACTAGCATCGCTGCTGCCACGACGTTCTGGCTAGCGCGATTGAAGATTGGGGGTTGCTCACCCCCCTTCGTCGTTGTTGATGCGGTGGTGGACGTCGCGGGCCCTCCGCCGGGCTCCTTTGCCATCACCGCGACCTCGCTGCTCCTGCTCGAGAGTGTCTTGGAGCTGCTGCAGCAGGAGTTGGTCTTGGTTGACTTTTGCCTAAAGCTCAAGGAGCTGCTCTAGGTCTAGTCGTCGAAGTTCCTCAGGGGCAGCGTTCTCGTTCCGCGCTGCCCGAGGCTCGACGAGCGGAGGTGTGGCGTCGCCTGCCCCTTGGCGGAGCGGGGAGCGGTTGCCTGCCCCTTCACTCTCATTACTCGCCCTTGGCATCCCGAGCCCGATGTGGAAGCACTCTCGAGTGGGATCGTAAGTGCCTTCGTCATCGGAGTTAGAGTAGCCGAAGCAGTAGTCGTTCGCGGCCAAGAAGAGGCGCATAGCTTGAGGGTCACGAAGCCCAGAGAAGTCTGCTCCGGCCCACGCCTCGTCCTCCTCCGAGGAGTCAGTGTGGGTGTGAGCTGAGGTTGTGGCGAAGAGGTCAAGGGCAAAACGTTGGTGACGTCCTGAGGGCTCCGTGTGAGCGGAAGCGTAGGCGGAAGCAAAGGTGGCGGCGGCATTTCTCAACCCGAAGGGGTACGGGGATGGTGCCATCGTCGGGCCCTGCTCCACCGGAGTTGGCTCCTCAGGAGGTGGCGGTGTGGAACTTGATGACGGGGCATTGCTGCACGTCACCGGCGTCTTTCCCCTGCCCAGGCTTAAGCTAGACAGGTCCCCAACCAGGGACTCTGTACCAACAGCTGGGCATGGGATACCGGAGGAGCGCGGCGCGTCGCCTTGAGCTCGTGCGGTGTCGGGGTGGTCCTGCTCGCGTCGTGCCTGGCGAGCGCGACGAGAGCGGTGGCCCGGGCGCCGCCTATGCCTGGGCTGCTGGTGCGCGATGCCGTCGTCGGCCAAAGGGGCTCTGGATAGGAGGAGTACTAGGTCGTATTCACATCCTAGAGACATGAACTCTAGGCTCCCAAACCAGATCACCGTGCCGAGACGTAGTTGGCGTATGGGGTCTGCCATTCGGAACTTGTTGGGACGATTAAGCTAACACGCAGTAGCACCCCTACCTGACGCGCCAACTGTCGGTGTTTTGGACCGGGGGGTCCTCAACCAACTAGTGAATTTGAACTGCGTGCCTCTAATCCCGGATGGTGATGCAAAGAGATACAAGGTTTATACTGGTTCAGGCAATTGGTGCCCTACATCCAGTCTGAGAGATCGATCTTGTATTCCTTGCACCGAAGTGCTTGTAGTAGGGGGTTACAAGCTGGGCGAGAGAGGGAGCTAGTCCCAGGTCTCTGCGTGGAGCGGTGTGGGCTGCTTGAGACGTTGCTCTCAGGCAGCGGGGGAGCATGTGTCTGAATCTACGTGAGCCTATGCGTGAGTTCGTCTGTCTTCCTGTGTCTAAAAACAGCCCCGGTCTCTTCTTTTATAGTTGAAGGGGGACAGGGGTGATACATGTGTTTGCTATGCGACGTCTTGTCAGCGGAGGTGGCGTGTCTGAGCCCTGTAGCTTACTACTGTGGTGGCATGGTCAACGGAGCGGTCTTGTCCTTGATGCACTGGAGCAACGCGCCGGTCACACCCGATCTTGTGCGACGTGGGAGCTCCAGTGATAGCTTGGCGCGGGGCATGGCCGACGACGTGCCGGTCGCTGTGCATTGACAGTGTAAAAAGCCGAGGCTTAGTTGGTGCCGAGGCCGAGCCATCATGGGGGGGCTCGGCGGGCGCGAATCCCGAGGCTGCCGAGACCTTGAAGTGGATTGCCGAGGCTTGGAGGGAGCAGTTGGTCCTATACACTGATTTCGAGGCTATAGTGACCCGGACTTGACTCCCCACGCCGCGTTGTTCCTGGAGCAAGAGTTAGATAGCACAGTGCAGTACATGCGTCAGTTATGGGCACAGTGCCGAGCACGGTGGCCGGTAACCCTTGCCTAGTCCTGTCTCCCGTCCTCGTTGGCCACTCCGCTGTACTACGCCGACGTGCGGCTGACGATGCGGGAGTGGTTAGACGCGTTGATTGGACGTGACGTTTTGTCAGAGAAGTCGGTCGAGACGGAGGCGACGAGGTTGTTGCCGAGCCGGCCTCGAGCGAGTCGGAGAATCGGTACTTCGTCTGAGGCTTTATGCGCGGGGCCTCGGGTGAATCGGAGAATCGGTAACCTGTCCGAGGCCTTGCGGGGCAGGGCCTCGGGCGAGGGGGCCTCGGCGAGGCGGAGAGTTGGTTTTTCATCTGAGGCTTTTGCGGCGCGGGCCTCGGGCGAATCGGAGAATCGGCCGAGACCTCGTGGTTGTCCTTTGGCTTTGATATTTGCAAGGTCTAAGTAATTTTTTTGGTTCTCGCTTAGGGTACCCCTTTTTCTGGTATCCGACACATCGGCAATAGTATTACAGAACAATTTATAATACAATGGGAAGCTTGCTCACACTTGCACAATGGCGATCTTTACAATAACACGGCAATAGTCACAATTTACATAGGTTGCTAGCACTTGCAAAATTTACAGTAATGGGAACTCAGTTTACAATATTACTGGGAACACAGTTTATCCCCAATCAGTGACCACTAGTGTGCCTGGACATGGAGTGGCATCGCCTGCAGCCCCGATGCCGATTGATGCGGTGGCGTGGAGGAACTTCCGGCGTGGTGAGGAGCGCCGCCGATGCGACCGGCTACGGGACGACGACGATGCTCGGTGGCGCGGAGGGGAGCGCCAGCGAGATGGAGAAGCAGCTGACGCGCGTGGGCGAAGGCGGCGTCGCAGAGCCGCGCCGCGAGCCCCTGCCCGCGCTTGCTCCGCGGCACGTACGTGTGCACCATGTCCATCACCGCCGCTGCAGGAGCCCCACCGCCCCGTTGCCATCGAGGAGGCGGTACTGGAGGAAGGCCTCGCCATCGGGCGTCTCGAACCTCCCCTTGTCCTCCCTCCACACGATGCTTTCTGTCTCCGGCGGAGGGGCCTCCATGGTCCGCTGGGCCGCGCCGCCGCCCTCCTCCTTCGCCATCACCCGGTGCTAGCCGGTGGAGGCGCGACTCGCAGGGGAGTCCGCAACGGCAGCGGAGGGGCAACTCACGCAGGGGAACGGGGAGTCGAGTGGCTGGGCTAAGATGGGCCGGCCTGTAGGCCTGTTAAATTGGTTAGGTTCGTTACTTTTAGAGTCTCACAGTTGGATCTAAAACGAACGGCTGCGATGATCAACTGCAGAGTACAGTCAGGTGGCCCCCGTACGTCACGGTTTGGGAGCAAGGGAGCAGGCGCGTGGTGACTTAGGCGCGGCGAGCGCTCTCCTATTGCACAGGCACAGCCTACGTGAGGGGGCACGACGGGTGCATCGAACGGGAGCCACGTCCGAACACAGGCCTAGGCCCGGACGTCCAGGCGGCCATTGCAACCTGTTTCCTTCAATTCTTCCGTAAGGTTAAGAACCAAATATATGCAGCAGGGAGATTGGGAAAACTTCTCCGGTATTGCCAATTTAAGTACAGTTCTTACAATCGGAGAGGACACAACCAATACAGGGTCCCTGGCTTATTAGTTTTTTAACCCGAAAGAAGATACACCATCAGTTGTGAGAAGTGTGGTATATCTTTTTGGGACGAGCCAGAACATTAGCAGGCAGGTTCCGATTAGATTAGTAAACACGTGCTTTCGGTGGGAAAGACTGAACTTCATCGTCCAAGGTATTCATGTGAACAGGCCTGTAGGCTAGTCTAACCTTCTCGTTCTCCCAATACCTATAAGAGTATAATTTTGTCAAATTCCGTATTCATTCATTAGATTAAATCAGCCACCCAATAATAACTCAAACTAGAATTGAAGGGATAACAAAGAGAAGACACTAACCCTAGGGTGTGCTTCATCCAGTTCTCAACATCTCTTGTCTGCAGCAACAAGGGGAAAGGGAACATTACCAGAAATGATCATATGATGTGCAAGTAAGAGAGCACAAGGCAATAAAAAGGGAAACAAACCGAAAAATCTTCACGGGCATGAGCTCCTCTGCTCTCTTTGCGAGCCTCTGCTGAATACATGGTTATGCATGCATTTATTAGCAGGTTTTCCAATTCTATGGTCTCAATCAAGTCTGAATTCCTGTGGAGACCAAAGAGAAATATGACCTGTAAGTGAAAAACGTATAAACGGAAGATGACACACTGTTTACTGGTGAAGAGTCTACCATATATGAGACTTCTGTCACTGATCTTGACATCATGGAAACTCTCCCATGCTTTGCTAATCAGTTCACAGCCTAATAAGACAAAATAGTCATATGTCATGCATACAGTCTTCAAATTTCTTGCATGAAATCTGGCATGCTTGCTCCCTACTACTGATAGCTATTCAGATGATTAACATAGAAAAATTGAGGGCAACTCTACATATATTCATACCTTCCTCAAGAGTTTCTTGTGTGCGGAAAACTGCATCATTGTTTGGCATAACCCGTTGCATGTTGAGACGAATATTTGAAGTAGGTAAAGATCCATTTGCATTCCTCTACTTATCCAACCAAGCGATAGTATTTTCTCCGACACCTTTTCCAAGAGGTTTCTGCTTCTCTCCTAGAATGTGGTGCAACAAGGAAATAAGGTACAAATAGTAAAGTCAATAACAAAACACTATTCAGCAAAACATGAACTTGCCTGGTTTGGATATCTCAGCAACCCTGTTCGCTCAAGCTCTGCCAAATACAACTATATCTATCAAGAAGTGAATTTGCACCAAGCCTGTTAGCGCCGTGAACGGATGCACAAGCAGCTTCCCCAGCAGCCATCAGATCAGGAACAAGTGCATCTGGATCACCACCCTTGATTGATATGCAGCACCTAATGTGCAAAACAGCAAGGCAGACATCAGACATAAACAAGTATTTGCTCAAGTCAGATGTCCATAGTAATGCTAGTATTGTCTATTCAAAGCATACCTCCTCATGATAATTTGTCGGGATACCACCCATGTTATAGTGCACAGTAGGCAAAACAGGAATCGGCTCTTTGGTGACATCAACACCAGCAAAAATCGCAGCAGTTTCAGATATACCAGGAAGCCTTTCCTTGAGAATTTCTGGAGGAAGATGGTTGACGTGCAGGTAGATATGGTCCTTCAGCGGTCCTGAGACAAAGTGAACATCAAGAAACTATGAGAAACAAAAATCCAGGTTGCTGGCTCAAGCCTAAAAATGAGAATATAGACATACCTACACCACGGCCCTCCCTAATTTCCATTGTCATCGATCTCGAAACAACATCACGAGATGCAAGATCTTTAGCAGTTGGAGCATATCGTTCCATAAATCTCTCACCTTCACTGTTCCGAAGAATACCACCTTCACCTCGGGAACCTGAACAAAAAAATACCAATGCCATAGGAATTTCTGAATCCAATTAAGGACGTGCAATTTATGTAACTAGTGCAAACACAGGAGTTTTTAAGCATGTCATTTATGTGCCCAAACAAAACAAAAACAAGTTACAATAACAGAACCTTCTGTTATCAGGCATCCAGCACCGTAAATGCCTGTAGGATGGAACTGCACAAACTCAAGATCCTGTAGTACAAATTGGACAAGGATAGTCAGAACATACAGTAAAGTAGTTAAAACAACCAGATTTCGGCCACAGAAGACTGACCTGAAGGGGTAATCCGGCACGTGCAACCATAGCATTGCCATCACCAGTACATGTGTGAGCTGAAGTTGCTGAGAAGTAGGCTCTACCATAACCCTGTTGAGATGAAAACAAAGAAATGACTGTGGATATTCCATAAATCAAAATCAAACAATCAGTACTTAACACAGAGACACAGAGAGGTTCTTACTCCGGTGGCTAGAATTGTATTTGCAGCACGAAAACGATGAAGGGTACCATCCTCCATGTTTAGCACAATTACCCCTTGGCAGGTGCCTGAAAAAAGAATCTGCATTGATCAATAGAGTTGTAATAGGAAGCCATATTATGACTACAGAAAAGTAGCAGCAAAGAGCACCCCCCCACCCACCCACCCACCAAACACACACCAAAAAGAAAAAGAAAATCAATGAGATGGTAATCCTAACTGCAGTTATTAAAAGGGATCCTTAACCAAACGTTTCCAGCATTATAAAGTTATACATTGTAATAAGTGCAAGCAACCAAATACACCATATTAGCAGTTAGCGCCACTTGAAAATAATGTGTAAGCTGTTGAACAACTTAATAACCACAAAAAATTAAACAACAAAAGGAAGGAATAATTAAATGATGAATCCATCAGAAAGTTTAACATAAAACAGAAATATTATGGTACCAATGGCAGTTTTTGAAGAAAGTAAACATCAATACCGAGTTTCCTGAACAAAGCCAGCATCAGGTTGCGACCACATGAACAAAATGCAAATACAATAGCAAGGAAAATGAACAATGTATCACATTTTAAAACCCTTCTTTCTGTTTAGCCACACATATTGGGTCTTCCATGACACCAGAACACAACAAACTAAAAAGAATGTAGCAACAAAAATAATAGAATTATATACCTTCATTGTCCATGAGAAGGTCCAGTGCAAAATATTCAACAAAAAACTGAGTATTGTGCTTCATTGCTTGACCATATGTGTGTGTAGCATAGCATGCCCTGTTCTATCGGCTGCACATGCACACCGATAGGCCTGCCCACCTGAAGATTACATATAGGCACAAGAAAAAATGGGGGAAGAGTAAGAAAGTGCAACAGATCCGTACTTAAAGTATCAAGATAAAAGTGGAACACAATAACCTTTTCCAAAATCTAAGCTTTGGCCACCAAAGGCTCAGATAAATTTTTCCATCTTCGGTTCTGGAAAATGGTAAGCCATAGTTCTCAAGTTCTATAACAGCTTTTGGTGCCTCTCTGCACATATACTGAATAGAATCTTGGTCGCCTAGATGAATATGAATAATATGCCAAAGGGGTCAAAGAAAGATCATACCAAAGTGGATAAAATACTTAGATATGATGAGAATATGATAGGGTTTCCAAAAATCTTATAAAAGTAGACTAAAGATCCATGTTCTTGAAACTTCACCATGATTCATGAGTGCCTTGAAAAATGTCTTTCTATAGTAACTTACCCAACCAGTCACTTCCTTTGACTGTATCATACATATGCCATCTCCAGTCATCTTCACTCATGTTGCCAAGAGCAGCATTTATGCCTCCCTGCCATTGTATGTGTTAATGGCACACAAGTAAAACTCTCGAGCATTCTCCAGCAATACACAACAAAAAACATACTACACTAAGTATAGATTCATGGCTGAGATTTAGGAAGGGCTGTTAGCTTTATGCATCTCCTACAAGGCTACTAAATTTTCTTTACATGCTCAGTAACTTTATTTTTTTATGATTTGAAAAGCGAACAATGGGGCAAACTAGGTATAGAGCATGACAGCAAGACAACAGCACGATTTTACAAATAAAATCATCAATATAATATGCACCATAGGCGTGAGTCTTGCAATCATGCTGCAAATTCTGAACTGCAAATTCCGGCTCCCACCACAACAGCATCGTAGGTGTGATCCACCACCGTGTAGGACTGCAATTACAGGTGTAAACCCCAGTCAACAAAATCAAGCATTGCAAACTCGGAACTGAATACCCGCTGTGAAACTGGACGAGCTACGGCACATCTGATCTGCGACTGTAGTTCGATTCACTCCACAAAAACCGGCATTCACCGTAACAACCTAGAATAGTGTTAAAGTCGCGCTAATAAACCACAACAAAACTATCGGCATCACGATCGCCGATCAAAGAAACAGTTGAAAATATGTGGAAAGAAAAAAGCGGTGGGATCGGGACGCGACGAATCGACGCGGGGAGGTGGCGTGGTGGAGACGGGAAGATACCGTACCGAACTCGTGGAGAAGAGCCTGGAGGCCGAGGCGGCGGCCTTGACCTTCCGGAGGCCCCGCGACACGCAGCCGCGCCACATCTCGCAGATCGGAGAGGACCACTCCTAGGCCCTCGCGCGCGCGTGGAGGTTTTGGTTCGAGCGGGGAGGGTGACGGTCTGACGGAGCAGAAGACAGTGGGGAGGGAGGGAGGGGAACTTTTTTTGTGAAATAATATTATTTTAATATTTAATTGCAGATCTAGAAACCGTAATAGTAAAATTGTAAATTTAGAAGCCAATCGGTTAACCAGGGGCCAATAGTCATATGCACGCAGGTATTTCTTTTTTTTAGCTTTTTACTGGTTTAATTAGATCCAAAAATTAGTATATACCTTAGGTTACGTATTTTGATACGTAGGTAACTATTTACATAGTTAGAAGATGTAGACTCTAATTAGTTAGTTAGTTAGGAAAATTAGTTTATTTGTTTTGTCTTTACATTCTTTTACGTGTTGCATCCATTCTGCACCCGTTCTTTTCTTTTGCCATTTTTCTATTTCTATCGTCCATCTATTTTTTTTCTATTTTTTCTTATATACTAGCAAGATATGTCCATGCACTGTAACATAACTATAATTTATTATGCAACTGGCAGCACGAGCCTGGCTACATGGCTAGAGCCGTGGATAGGCACAGTGGTTACGACGAGACGACTTGAACCGGCGTTACGGCGGCCAAGGTAGCACGCGCGTATGGTGTCACCAGCCACGACCAGGTAGTCTAGGCCAATTGCGCGGCGACCACCGTGTGGGCCTGGTCAGCAACGTGAGGCAACACGGTGGGGTGGCACGGCGTCCCATGCAAGCGCGGCTTCTATGGTGGCTGACCGGGCACGACTCGATCCTACGGTGACGTGGACATGACCCGGCAGCCATAGTTGAGCGAGTGAGCAAAATCTTGATAATTCATCCATTACTTTCATGCACACAAGGGTCAGCGGTGGCAAGAGTAGCCAAAGCTCGTTCTTGTTCTCGTTTCTCATAAATATTTAATATTTTCCCTTGTTACAATACCCTGATATATTTATTAGTTATAAGGATAGAAGCATAAAAATGAAACAGAAAGTACTCCAAACCCATAGAATCTAAAAAACAAAAAAAAAAAGCCACTATTCATCTAGAGCAACGACTTCCACTAAAAAAAATCTATACCAACGACTGCATCGAGTAAAACCACTACGAAAGAAGACAATACAGGAATCTAAATAGAATATTGTACCTTTTTTTTAGATTTTTTCGTGTGTGATTTTGGGATGTACTATGCCAAGTTTTAATATAATTCCCTTTTACCTTAAAAAAAATGATGCTAGATGCAAACAAAATAGATTGTGCTTGATTTTTAGCACCACTTAGAAATTTACAATATCTTTTGAGATCTTTTTGGGGTAAGTTGGAAGAAATATTAAAATCTAAATAGTAAAGAAACGTGATCAACAAAACAAATTCTAAAAGGCACGTGGCTTCCAGGTTGTGGGTGCAGTCGGTTTCCCAATACCCGTAGACCCATCGGTTGACCAACAGCCGAGTGAACCTATCGGCTCCCAGAGTGCCAATATCACCTTGGTCGGCCAACTGATCGCCGATAGGATCTTGCACTGTGATTTTCGATAGGTACCCTCTCGGCCACTGAATAGCCGACAGGATACTAGTTTTGCAATACTAAAAAAATAACACCCAAATGTGCAATTATTTATTAAAATAATATTATTTGGAAAAATGGCTCCGATGGGGCGGCGAGGCAAGACCGCGCGAGATGGTGGGCCGGTGGGGCAGTGAGGTGGGCGGTGGCCGGTGGGGCACCTGGGCCTTTCTAGCCTTCTGTCTTTCTGTGCGCTTTTTTGGGTTGGTGGGACTGGGGAGCGCGTCGTCAAGCCAACGACCGGAACCGGACGGTTGGGCCTCCGAGTTTTACGATCGCTACACGGTCATCTTCGAGAGCTTTTATAAAATATACTCTCTAAATCATTATTTAGAGTCATTTGAGTAAAAATTGTTCTCTATATTTTTTTTTACTCTCCAACAGCTTTTCTATATCTTGTGCGTAGTTTGGAGAGCCATTTTCGCTCTTCATCTTTGGTTAGCGAGAAATCTGGAAAAGATGATATCTATTTTTTATGTCCAATTAAAGAGATTGTTGGAGAGGCCGTTAGAGGATGTTTTTTCATTAAAATCTCTATTTCTATGAATTAGAAAACAAAAAGTCTATTGAAGATGGTCTTACGGTAGAAACTTTAACCATTCCTGGCTATATGGATCAATCGTTGGCCAGTTATATCTTGATTGCTTAAATCCATCGAGTGAATTATTGGATCATGTATGGTTTCAACCATATACTTGATTATGGCTTTATAGAAGCAGCACATGCCACATGGGCATTGAGATGGAGAGGTATCTATCAGCTTTGTGAAGTTGAATAGTTTGTATTGTTAATTGTATAGTCTTCTTGTCTTCTAAGTTCTAAGAGCATCTCCAAAGGAGCCCTAAATCCATTTATAATCTTTGGTTTTAGCAAAATGAGAAAAAATCTCTCTCAAACAACTTCTAATTCATTCTCCTAATTTTTTAGAACTTGGGAAAAGTCACCCTAGTCCACGTAGTAGTGCGTATCTTCTCTCCCCGCGCACGTGTTTGTCAACCAATTTAAAGGTGGAAGGATGTGGAAATATTAAAGAGTAGGAAAGGGTTACTGATGCAAATGTACAAGAGAGAAAGAATATATAGAAGTGGTTATGATAATTTAGAAATAGTATAGAATTTCTGATGTAAAATTATTTTCTATATTTTAGGAGTGGATTATTAGAAACTCTTGGAGTTTAGGAGTCGTAAAACTCCATGTTTTTTGAAATAAAATATTGGGTACTTTTGGAGATGCTCTGAGTGTATTGGTGCAAATACAATTTAATAGTAATTTGGTGAGGGTATAACATGGATCGTTGTGGAATGAGATATACTAATCTATAGTGGGGATTAGTTTTATAAGAGATATAGTTAGATTTAATGTTTAAGATTACTAAGGATTTGATTGGTTTGTGACAAAAATTTGCTATGTCAAAGATTTGACAAGCCAAAGTTAGGTAAAAAATCTTGTCATAGATTTGGCAAGTCAAATGTGAAAGGTTGCTAAGTTTTGGTAGAAAACCAAACTATAGCCACAATTATGGCTTGCTAAATTTTTGGCAAGGCAAATTTTGAAAACCAATCAATCAAGTTCTAATTTGGTGAGATATTTGTAATGATTGGATCACTGTGGGATGAGAGAGGATTAGCTTTACAATATAGATTCACATGCGAACACTACTTTCACCAGTATCCTCTGGGGCTTTTTTTTTACTTGAAATGGTATATTCAAGTCACAATTGTCACGTTAGTCCTTTAGTAATCGTTTAGATCTACTAGATATAGCCTCTATCCACGTGGCCACATTGCTCTGTTCCCAAGGTACATCACGCCCTGGCAACCACTGTCCAACTTATTTCATCGGCATCAACGGACAAGTCCTCACGTCGGAGCTGCTTAACCAATTCGATATCACCGCTGAATAAAATGTACTAAATTCGTTCTAAATTATAGTTCATTTGATTTTTTTTATTCTAAATTTGATTACTCGTCTTATTCAAAAATTTATGTTAAATATTACTTTTTTGTGGTGGCTTGTTTTATTAACAAAAAGTTTTTCGAAAATGACTTAAATTTAATTACGCCTGTATAAATTTTTTAAATAGGAGAGAGTATATACTATACACACACACGTGAGTGTCCTACACGTGCTGCACATGCAAATGCAACCGGGAAAAGAAGCAAGCGTACTCTATAGGGTAAAATCCATTTTCTAACCTACAACTTGCACGTACAACACACCATTTTCCTATCCTAAACTACAAAATCGGGTAATAGACATTCTCCAACATTTGAAAATGGACAAATTTAATTATAAAACTAGTTTTAAAAATAATTGACTATTTTCTAATAATAAAAAACTAATTTAATATCTAAAAATCATAACTAATTTATTTAAATCAGATAAATATAGAAATTGTATCGTATTTTTCTAAAAATAGTGTCTATCGACTATTGATATGGATCAATTTAGATTTATTTGGGAGTTATTTATTTTTGTTCCTATGTGTTACTACTCGTATTGAGACACTAAGAACATGAACAAATAAGATTCAAAACTTTAAATAAAGCTCCAATAGATAAATAACATTTTTTTAGAAAAAAAGAATTGGTACTTGTCGTTCATATTTTTAAAATTTAAGATAAAATACTTATGAGTTTTTAGACAATAGACTAGATTTTTGTTATTTTGAAAAGAAATAGGAAACCACCTTTGCAACCAGCTATAGTACCGAATATGTTGGCTTTCAATAGTTTTGTAGTTAAGGGTTGAAAAGTAGACTAAAATGCAAGTTGAATGTTAAAAATGGATATTACCCAATTGTAGTGCTCTCGTAGGAACAAGGCACAATGACTAAAACAAAAAAAAATTTTGTGTGCCGATAATATATATAGTGGCTAGCGTTGATATTTATGATTATTGAAATATCAAAAAAAAACTTCAACCTCACTTTTGGGTAAATAAAAAGCTCTACGAAAATTAAGTGTAGCACAACAGGTTAACTTTTTTAGAGCATCTAGAAAAGTTTTTCTAAAATTTACTATATATTTAAATCATCATTTGGAGAGTTAATTGAGTAAAAATCGTTTTTTATATCTTTGTTTCTTTCAATAATTTTTCTATATCTTGTGCATACTTTAGAGAGCCATCCTCATTGTTCATATTTGGCTAGTGAGAAATTTGGACTGAAGGATATATATATTTGGATATTCAATTAAAAAGACTACTGGAGAATATTTTTATAGCAAAATCTCTATTCATATAAATTATAAAGGATATAAAAGTCTCCTTAAAGTTGCTCCTTTAGAATCTATCTATTTATGTTTATTTTTTTAACTTAGCATGAGCACTTGCATTTTTTCTAAATTTATTATAGTATTTAATGATGTTATTCTTTTAGCGGTAAATGATGTGCTCATTGAT